TTATTTATTTATCCATCTATCTATTTATTAAATATTTATAATATTATTTATTTATATTATTTATTTATTTATTGAATTATTTAATAATTCAATAATCAATAAATAGTTGTTGATTAAATATTATTTAATTATTTATTTATCTAGGATCGACATTTTGATTGAAAATATGATTTCCATACAAACCTGATATCATTGTTATGTTCTTTCATTAATATGTATGCAACTTTTGGTGTATGACCTAAATTTTACCCCTATTTGAAGGCCACAAAGATAAGTGTAGGTGTTGATGTGTGTATGAGCTATGAAAGACGCTTCTACTTTAACCTTCCTGAGGTTCAGCAGGCCATTCATGCAAACCGAACCAAGTTGCCATATGGTTGGTCTATGTGCAGTAGGTAAGTATGTCAAACATTTTGATGAATTTTGAGATGAAACGTGTCTAAGAAAACCTTCTTAAACAGTATATCAGCAGTTGGACGTTGAATTGGCCCCTATATTATATTTCCTCGGACATGTCAAGGACATGAAGTGTTTTGGAGTTACAATTTCCAAACGCCCCTATATTCTTGTAAAACTTATTTTCTCTGTTAGAGAGAGATGCCAAATACTAGTAAATATTCTATTTTTTCCTGAAAATTGATGACGAAATACAGTCTGCTCAAATAGACTTTCCCATTTATGAATCTTGTTTGTTGAACACCACATCTTTATGAAAGATTTGAGTTTGCGACCAATGTTTAGTTCGATATTAGATTTCACACATCACTTTTTTAATTATTTGAGTTTGCGCCCTATAAGTGGGCTATATATCTAGACTTTGTGGCCCATGATTAGATTACATAGTTGACTTTCTACCCCACGTTGGGACTAAGGGGTGTATATTTAAAAGATTTTGAAAATGAGGTGGAAAGTCCAATATTGAATTAAAGATGGGATGCAAACTCTAATTCTCCCTTTTTTAAACTGAAGAATTATATTCTCTACCTTTATGGGATAAAATTGACCCCCCCCCCCAAACTGCAGCATTCTGAGCTACAATCAATCTGATGGAAGCATTGACATTCTACCTCTTCTTAAAAGGATTGTACAAAACCACATTCCAGTCTGGATTTTCAGGTGAAGATTTCAACGCGTTACAATCTTAGCAGAGTTTTGGTTATGGGTACTGCCAATTATTATGTACTACTACGGTATAATATAGTACTACGTATAATCTAGCGCACTTATCAATACACTTGATGCAGCGGGGACCAGGATTCTGTTGTACCATTGCTTGGGTCGCGCACACTTGTCCGTGAACTTGCTCATGACTTGGGGCTCAAGACGACAGTCCCTTATGGAGCTTGGTTTCACAAGGGACAGGTACTACTACTATGTTTCCCTTTTCTAGCTCTCTATGGCTCTCTTTGGTGAGATCAAACTGCAACACCTAATGATGGGTTGAACTATAACAATAAATTAAATCGAGCAGTGACTGGATGTCATTCAAACAAAAGTTAATTTGATAGTGTTTTATAATATGTGGAATAGGTGGGAGGCTGGGCAACAGAGTATGGAAACATATTAACCTTTGCCACGGTAAGAGGCGCATCTCATATGGTGCCATATGCTCAGCCCTCTAGAGCTTTGCATCTCTTCAGCGACTTTATACATGGGCGGAGGCTGCCAAACACAACTCGCCCCTCCATTGATGAATGAGTCAAGTTCCCGACTTCAAAATGCAGCTTGACATTCCTCGTAGGTCTTTCCATTATTAAATGTTAGTAGATCGCCACTAAATATTAGTAGCCCTGCCATGAATCATTTGTAGTTCATTCCGGAACATATAAACAAAGTTTAATATTATGAAGCCAGATACCCGCCACAAAATTTAATATTATGCCCATATACTCGCCATTAAACTCAACAAAAACCAGAAGTGTACATGCATGCAGTTGTGGATGTTTTTTTGGTATAGTGTTGACGATTCAAATAACCATGGAGGGATCTATATCGGGCCTATGGTGAGCTAAAGTTTTTGGTATAGAGTGCAATGTAGTTTAATAAAATTTAGTGTAAACGTTTTTCCTTGTCCGCTTTAACCGCTCACCTAATATAATCAATCACTCTTCAGTCTAGTACATTGACATTCAGCACGGCATAGGTGTAGTGCATGAGGCATCCATTGTCAATGAGGCTACTGCAATTCCAATTTGAATGGGTTTAGAAGGGGCCTATCCTATTAGAGTATAGATAGATCAATCTATTACTCGTGTTCTATTAAAGGAGAGGTGGACTTGGGGCCAGTTCCGAGTAACAAGGGGAGAATTGAAGCTCAACAAGGGATAGGTTTGTTAGTTACCTGCCAGCTGAGGGTTAAGCCACTGACACTTTAACCTGAGTAATTATACAAAAATGAGTAAAGTTAATGACTTGTTCACTCTAACCTTAGCTTCATTTTAGATGACATTCTCACTAGTTTTAAATTTTCCATCATGAAATTATTGGTTAGATTCTTGCAATTAGGTAAAAAGGTATGTTCAAAATATTTTGTTTCATTCTAAACTAGTATAGTACACATGCATACGCAAGAGGCACGAGAAAGAGCAGTTGGTGCATTTATTTTACTAATTAAATATTATAATAAAAATAACTTTTTAGAATTCTACATTTCCGAATAATAAGTGTACAATAAACTAATACCACAAAGTATAAGCCCATACAATATATATTCAATGAAGTGTATGTTAGGAAAAATTAATTGACACCATTCATTAATATTTGATACTTATTAATTTTCATGATTAGATTAATTTTAAAATTAAATAACATTCAAAACAAGTGAGTACAATAAGTGAGTGGCATAAAATTTAAGTTAATAAATAAATGTTAAAATTAAAGAATATTAGTTAAATAAGAACTTGATACTCATTAGTAAATTAGTGGTATCATTCGTGAGAAAATTATATTGCTCAATTCTTAGCCGCCTTATGTTATACCTACAAGAATGAAACCATTACAACCCGCACGGATAGCTCAGTTGGTCGAGTGGTGGAAAATTTGGATCAATGGACCACAGTTCGAATCCCCGCAGCGACCGGGTGGAGGTTACAGAACCTGAAATAAGGCTCGACCTTTGGCGCGCACGGGTGTATGACCTACTGTCACTTTGCTGACTCAGTCACCGTGACTTACTTCTTCACCTTCCTGTCGGGTCGGGGTGTGGGGGCTCCTGGGTGGGAGATTCCACCTTTTTGGATCAAAGAATGAAACAATTACACCAGCTGGTTGTGAGGTTATCATGCTTAGTGGGAGGTCTCAAGTTCGAAACCCGCTAGGCACATAGGGGTTTGAAAGTCAATGGAGTAAGTTTAAGCTATGATTATTTCATCCCCCCTAGCCCCCCTCCCCCAGACTCCCCTGGAGTAAAAAAAAAAGACTAAAATGAAGATTATTTACAATTATTAATATAAATAAATTAATTATTCAAGTCTAGGCACTTTTTTCTTAATTTTTGACATTTTCAAATGTACCTTTGATTTAGAGATAGACTTTTTTAAATTAGTGATAACGACTTCATGCAAATACAAATGCATATTGACTAATTAGATTACGGCGAGTCATGATGAGATGGAGTTGCCCCGCATAGGATGGGTCATGGACGGGACGGGTCATGGGCGGGACGGGTCACGGGTCCACCTAATAAAGTCACAGAACGCGTCTGGATCTTGTAGCACTCGCCCCACCCCATTACCATGCCTAAAGACCTAAACTCATCCATGCAACAATTGCCTTGTCCACATCAAGCCTCACCTTTTTATCACAAGAAAATAGAAAGTACAAGTACAAGATGATACCACAACTCACACTGTCACACATAATGAATTAGAGAAAATTTTACTTTTGTATTAGAAAAAATGAATCTTAAAAAGGGATAATAGGGTGTGCTTACAAACAATAAAAGAAAAAGTGATTTTCAACTTTTGACTAAAAAAACAAAAATAAATGTTTTCAAGTGACAACTTCTACTTAAATTCAACACTTAAATCTAATGGCTGGAAACTGATTTTTACTTTTTCTATTACACAAAAGGCACATATTTTAATAAAACACTAGCAACTCTTATTTTTCAAAATCAATTGTTTCTCAAACACTACTAAGGGAGTGTTTGCATTTGAATAAAAAAAACACTTTTCAGCTTTTGGCTTAAAAAGCTTAAATTAGTGTTTTCAAGCACGAAGTTCTACTTAAAAAGGGACTTTAAAGTCAAAAGATGGAAGCTGAGATATGGATCCTTTTAAGTGCTTCTAGGTTATTTTTTTGTGAATGACTCAAATTCCAAGGATAATTATTATCCTTTCAAACCCCAAAATACCTTTCGGCGCCCTCTTCAGTCTTCCCTACGATGTGCCTACTTCCTAAGATTGCAATTCCACGATTGCTACTTCACTTCACCATGGAATATGCCCCCAGAACTACTAAGGAGTCCCATTTGGAGAAATAGGTGGCCTCCTCCCTACTTTGCTCACATGCTTCCGATTCATTTGAGAATTGTTGTTCTTCATCTTCGAATATATGTATAAGTGTATACATGTGTGTATGTGCGTGCGTATTATAGATGAGCATTTATCTAACAGAGGCTATTACGAGGATAATAATTGCAAGCTGCAAGCCTTGTTGAAACCCCCAATTTCCATTTACTCAGTAATTTGTAGAAGGTTATATTGGTATTTTGATAAAATACTACATTAAAAATCACATTTTTACCAAAGACTTCAACTTTAACTTCTTAACAAAATCACTTTTATTCTAACACACTTTCAACTTTCACTACAAATCACTTTCTCCAAATTCACTTAAAATAATCACTTTTTTAAAATAGAAGCAAACGCAAACACTCCCTAAGACCCTAACTTTTACTATTAAGTATTTTCTCCAAAATCACTTTAAAAATCATTTTTTAAGCGGGGGCAATTGCAAACACTCCATAATTTGTACATTGGAGTTGCAGGTTTTTAAGTCAAACAACATATCCATAGTTAGTTTAAGCCCAAGCAATGGTCAATTGGTCATGCTCAAGCCGAAGCATAATCTTATGAGAATAAGATTTATCAAATCGATAGCGTTTTGCTTGAAAAGAAAAGAATAAATACATAGCTATGAAAGGAAAAAAGAAAAAAGAAAAACGCTAGGCAACTTACCCTTCAACAAACACATAAAAACAAATCAAAATATCCTAACTCCAAGTCTGTAATTCTTCAACATTCACATGACACTCCATAACAAAAACAAAAGTTCTGAATCTCAAATGTCAAGAGTTTTCCTTTAGACTTCGCTCCACATATGCCTGCAAGATGATAAAAGAGGTGTTCAGCAATTGGCTGAAATTCCTGAGGAACATCTTAAAGCCAAAGATAAATAAAAGTTCAAAGCATTATCAAGAATGCATTGGAGCATAAATATATTTTATCTTTACACTCTAGTTCACAAAGCAGAACCCAAATCACATGGATCACCTCATTTTGTGTTTTCATTTTATTTTTTCCATGGGTAAGGAGCACCCCCAATGGCTCCCCCCATGTCGATAAGCATACACATCAACACAAACAAATGAGTGCAATGCACAGCAAACAAAACTGACTCAAGCCTTAATCCCTAGTTTGGGTCATTTATATGGAATTGTGGATCATCTCTTTTCCAAGTTCTCTTCCACGAAACTTTGAGCACAGCCCCGTATTCTTAAAAACCTTTGCGCTGATTAGTTTTGGCATACCTTAACGTTAAACTAGCCCCTATAGCTACAATGATTAGGGATGCCACTTTGGACCGAAAACTGAACCACATTGAAAAACCGAACCAATGTAATATGGGACGGGAATTGGGACCCGCAAAAAACATGGTTTAATTTCGGTTCATGTACCCAAAAAAATTGGTTTGACCAAACCGAACCGAAAAAATTATATTAATGCTAATAATTATTATTAATTACCATTAGTAAGGTAGTTAGCAATGCTGTGTAGAAAAGATATAATCCATTTGAGCTTCGAATTATAGACAGTAAGCGTGTTGGTGAGATGGTTGTACAGCAGATGCGGTTTCCATGACATCACGTGTTTGATTCCCTGATCAATCTTTATTTTTGAACTTTCAATTTTCATTCCAAAACAACTTTGTCCTACACCAGAAGAAGAGAGGTACTCCTCCTTAAGATTTTCTATATAATAACCTTCTAAGAAGCATAGAAATAACCTGGCAACCAATCTTACTGATTGGGCTTGGTATGAAAGTTAATGGGCTTAGACAGCTCAAACTTCTATTGTTTCAGAATTGAAACGAATTACTATTCAACAATTTATTAAATTTTATATAAACTCGGTTTATTCACTTTTCAGCTAGCTGATCTGAAAACTCGACACCCAGAAAATCAGTACCCGTTCCTTAATGGTTCGGTTTCAGTTTCAGTTTTTAGGATAACCGAAATGTCAATTCGGTCCTACAATGGACAGTATCGGTTTGAGGCCCGAACCTAACCCAGCTAACCAGCTCTAAACCATATTACCTAAATTTTATTCATCTTCAATTAGCACGTACACCTTACTTCTAACCAAACCATTTTAAGAAAAACAATCTAATGAATAATGATTGGCTTCAACAAACTAGCCAAGAAAAGAAACAGAGAAATCACCTGTGCCAGTTTGTTAATTTTGGCTTTAGAACAGGACAGATAGTGCTCAATTTTATCTTGACTTTTAGGGAAATGATCTCCTTGAATACTACCCATCACTTTATCAACCACCTTCTTAACAATAGTCTTGTGTACTTCTCGGCTCATGCGACCTTCTTTCCATTTCGGCTTCAGGATCTCTTTGACTAACTCTATAAGAGCAATCTTGAACAACCGTGTAACCTTATCATCTTTCTTACCATTCACCTCTTCACACTTACCAGTGACACCGACACTGTAAGGGTTATTATTTTGTTGCTCATCCCCACAATCATTGGCTTCAAGTCTTTTATTTTCATTCAGTTCTGATTTTGCACCAGACTCCTGCTGCTTCAAACATTGATCCCCGGTGCACTCTACATTTGAAGCATTATACTGCTTTATGTGTCCAGCTTCGGAGTTCAAGGAAGATGATTGATTCATTTGCTTTAAAGAATCTTTGGTTCCATGTTGACTCAAGTTGGAGGCATTAACAGGTATTACAAAGTTGTCAGGCATACAACATTGAGATTCATCACCATGGGCTTGGCACATATCTGAATCATTTATAACTGGATCGACTCTAGAATATACAGCATTGAAGGTGGGAAGCAGTCCAGGGTTGGAATCAGAACAGATGACTGATGGAGATGCAACTTCATGTTGCTGAGATTTTCCCGTCTCATACTCAAATTTCTCTGTGAGAGGAGCTGGAGAGCCATGCATTTCAGTTGTTGGGACACTGAATGTAGCACCAGAAAGACTTAAATCCAGCACCTCTGATCTGGTGGCAGCTTCTTTATTCTGATAGCACGTACTATCTTTTGGAATGATACTATGTCCATTTGAAGGGATGGCATGAAGCTTAGAATCACCTTGGGCAGCTCCATCCAAGCATGAGGAATATTCAGAACCTAGGTTAGACCTCTCACTAACTTCATTGAATCTTTGTTCTGGTAATAAAACTGGATAGGTAGTCTGACTATCGATGTTTACATCATTTAACACATCAGATTTATTTGTCTTGCCAGTGTCCCGAAAAGGATATGACTCAAGAGGATGATTTGACATTATATAAGGGTGAACAACATTGCAGGGAAAAGCCCCCTGAGAAGCATCTTTCATTTTCTCCTGTCTTTCACCATGAACTAAACATCCGCCCAGACTTGGGAGTAGTGAAGCTTGAGATATAGCATTACTGTAATGGTCATTACTGGAGCTTTTCAGAGTAGATTCAACTTTAGGATAAACATCTCTCTCCTCGCACGAAGTTGTATTTTTCCACATAGCTCTCTCATTTTCCGAATTGTGAGCCCATCTACTATTTGTCTGACCAAAAGGTACAGTAATATCAGAGTTTTCCCTCGCAGCAGTGTCAAGCCGCTCATTAGTCTTCTCAAGATTAGAAGTCCTAGCTGTATCATCATCCCACACTGATTTGTTCCACAACTCATTTGAGTTAACCAAGCCATGATCCCCAATGTGACCAACTCTATCAGTATGAACCGCATCCGAATGGTTTGATATTGCTACACTCTCACCTATAGGAGCAGTATTGAAGCTAGAGTCCATTTCTGCATCATCCCACCTTAGGTCATCCCAGTTATGCTTTTTATTATCCAATCTGTGGCCACCTACGTTATTAGAGAAACTAATTCCAACATCTGTTTGTATAGCACCATCATGAGAAAAATTGCAGTTTTCACTATAGCACTTTCCCGCAACAAAATACTTGCACAGACGTCTACTAGTTTTACTTGGTTCATGCTTCCAATTGTAATCAGGGGATGTATTCCTGATACTACTATCATAGATGTGACTAGAAGACCCAGAATGAGAAAATCTGCAAGATGCTCCCCAACGGCACTTACCTCTGCCAAAATCTTTGCAAGTAATGACACTATTATTCCTGGGATGTTCACTCTCTATATTATAGAGATCAGGAACCTTACCCCGACAACGAACTTCAATGGTTTCACTATTCGCATATCTTGAGACTTCTGCACTCTCATGCCCACCACTCCATCTTTCTGCAAGGTTGTGCTCTAAAGAATATTTGTCCTTAACCTTAAAATTATCTGGATGAAAGAACCTACATTCACCACCTCTCCTACACCTCCCACTGGAAAATTCTCTACAGACTTTTGATGACATTCGAGATCCAATTTGTCTATCATCCCATTCATATGAATCACATTTCTGATTTGGGGGAGAACCATGACTTCTTGGCCTGCCTCTGAAATGTCCCTTGTCCCTACTCCTGCTTCTACTTCTACTCCTCCATCCTTTCTCCCTACTCCAGCTGCGGCTTCTGCTCCTGCCTCTTCCTGGAATCCTATTGTTTTAGACAATAAGAAACATATAAACGTTGGCAGTGAATTTTATGAAGATAACTTCTTTCTTGCTAATATTAGCAATCAATCTAAAGTCACAAAAATATTTATATTACAGGAAAAAATCAAAATAAACATAAAAGACTGCAGTCTCTCACTCAACAAAGCATTTACAATGTCACCGAACTCTATAGAAGGAATCATCATGCCTTTCCACTGAGACTTCCAAAATATGCTGGAATAAAAGTAGAATGAAAGTATGCATTTAAAAGTGAAAGCCTGAGATAGTTTCTAGGCAATCCATTAGGAACATGCATCATATGATGATAACATAAAGTCACATACCTGCGAGACTGTTTCAAACCATGTTCAGAAAACTTGCTACTCCTTTGCTGCCTTGGTCCATCAAAAGTTGGAGACGAGTATTCTCGATAAAACTTTCCCCTCTTGTGCTCCTCAGTTTCTGAAAGACGCTCAGCATCCTTGCTGATCCTCTTATTTGGTTGCAGTTGACTATTTTGCGGTGAGTCATTCCAGCTAGAATACCTATTGGATGAACTATCTGCTTTTGAAGAATTCTGCTCCTTGAAACGTCTTCCATCATGACTGGGATACTGACCCTTCCCAACCCAAGCATTTTTTACATCGACCTCATGATGAGAAGAATTTTCCTCGGAATCCCAAAAAGACCTGCGCTTTTTTAGACTTTCATCCATAGCGCTTTTGTTTTCAAGTATCAACTATGTTATCTCCTCAATTCTGGCATGCTCTGAAAGTCGATGGAAGAAAATAATTACACAAAATATCTTACAACAACTACATCAGAAGAAGAATATGCATATTCATGCTTTTATTATTAATATGCCCCCACAAAGTAACGCTTCAGGGTATACAAACAGGTATAAAAATCCACAGGGAAATGAGAAACTACAAAGCATGCTGATAGGAAGCACAAATGAAACTTCCCCGAATCCAACTAATCTATTTGGGTTGTTCTTATTATCATATGGAAGCGTTAATGTATTGCGATAGAAAATCATCTCCTAGTGGAAGCATGATGAAGACATGAAGTAGAAACAATTACAAGTTCCATAACATAGAATGTTTGACAAAACCAAATGTTTGCAATTGTGCATTTGCGCACACATTTGGACCAAATGCAGAATACAGATTAAGGTGTTGCCTAAAATAAGCAATGGTCAAATTTAGGTCTAATGTGTAACCCTCATGGAAAATGCAATGATGCGGATGTGAGACACACACAACATTATTATCAGGGTTTTACTTGATTAAGTTGGTTCACTTTAAATAGCAGTCCATTTTTCCTTCAAAAATTCCACAGGTAATGCACAAAAATCAACTTCTCTTCTCAAGTCTTAACTTCTTGGATATTCTCTTCTCGCCCGTGCAAGGCATGTTTTTCCAGTTGATGAGGAAGAGATTTTAATGCACCAAACCCCCTAGTTTTATACAAATTATGCACATTAGGCCCCATGGGGTTTAAAAGACGTGTCAAGCCCCCATGTGTTATGATTAATCATGAACAAAACCTCTCCAAGAACAAATTTAACAATTGAAAATCACTTGGTCTTAATATTATAATTGAATATGCAAGTAAATTTGTCAACATCTCTAAATTACACAAAAATACTAATCATTTTTCCTTTATTCAGCAATTGATTATGTTCTTGGAGGGGGTTTTGCGCATGATTATAACACAAGGGGTTTGATGCATTTTTCAAATCACAAGGGACCAATGCACAAAATTTATATATCACAACGAGGTTTGGTGCATTAAACCCTGATTAGGAGGATGGTGATGGAAAAAATGATAGTGAATTTTGACCCTATTTCAAACCGCTATTTTTCATTAATTAATCTATTGAACTTTAAACTTTCCGAGTTCGCAACATTTGATGCTATGTGATGCATGAGTAGTTGAACTTACAATATTGATGAGTTGATGAACTCAACTCATTACTGCTCATTTAGAGTTTTGATTATGGGTGATGCACTTGTGAGAAGACTTGACGGGTGGGGAGAAGAGACAGAGAGGAGAGGAAGGGGAAGACCCAAACAGACTTGGATTAGAGGAATCAGAGTTGATATGCGTCTTCTTGGGTTGGATGAGAGTATGGCTTTGGAGAGAGCAAGGTGGATGGCGCACATTCGTGTGGACGATTGATCTCTTTTCTATATTTCCTCTCTCCTTTTTCTTTTATGGTTTATCTTCTTTACCTTTTTATATTCTTATGTTTTTTATCTTCTAGCTATTTTTATGCTCTTTTATCCTTTTATCCTTTTATCTTTTATCTTTTTATCTTTCTTATGATCTTATGTTATTGTTATCTTATACTACGTATTTATGTATTTATTTTGTTACGGATGCGTTTTATGGAATTCCCTATCGCAGGAGGAAACATATGGGCCGGCAGGAAGTTTAATTGGAAGAGGAATCTATCCTGATGCTATTTTCATATTTTATTTTATTTATTTATTTATTTCTTTATTTATTTATTTATTTATTTATTATTTCCTATTATTAATAGAAGTATTAGAAGTTACAGTTTTAGTTAGAGTAGAACTCTATCATGTAAAGGGCAGATTGCCTATTTATATTCTTTATTCAGCCTTAATAAAATCTATCGATCTTTAGAAATTGTTCGCAGAGAAGTCACGGACTCTCTCTCCTCCCTGCGCTCTTCCAGCCACGGGCAAGAAGAAGAGTCACCCTAGGCGGCAGGTTTTGCCCTCACCGACTCACCCTGCCACAGCAAGTCGTCCTTGGACCCGTTCTCAATCCCAGAACCCTAACAATTTGGTATCAGAGACGTCAAGATCCATGGCGCCACAACCGCAAGATGATTTAGCCACCATGATGAAGGAATTCATGGAGACGATGACCGCTAGGACATCCGCCATAGAAGAGCAGATTGCCGCTCTATCTCTGGCAGTCCACAAACGCGATTCGAAGTCAATAATAACGGAGGAAGATGAAGTGGATAACCGCCGAGTGCAAGACCATCCATGGCAGAAAACCACGAACCCCTGGAGACCACAATATGCGAAGATGGAATTCCCAGTATTCGATGGCAACTCTGACCCTATCAGCTGGTTGAAAAGGTGCGAAAAATTCTTCTTGAATCAAGAAACTCCTGGTGCTGCCAAGGTCAATGTTGTTGCATTCCACTTGATAGATGATGCACAACTCTGGTTTGACCAGATGATCGAGGAAGAAGGTGAAGTCAATTGGGATAGGTTTAAAGACCTTTGCCTGGAGCGTTTTGGGCCCCCTCTGAGTTCTAACCCGGTAGGTGATCTAAAGCTTTTAATGCAAACAGGGACAGTTGATGAATATTGTGCCCAATTTCAAAAAGCCTTAGCCAGAACTTCAGGAATACAACCCACACATCAGATTGCTTTATATGTCGCTGGTTTACAACCTCACTTGAGGGCGGATGTGGAGATGGCAAAACCAGGAAACCTGGGGTATGCAATGAACCTTGCGCGGACGTTAGAAGCAAAGCAGTCATTGACAATTGCACCTGTCAAAGGCTGGAGTGTTGCAACAGATGCAAAACAACGAAGCCCGCAACAACATAGACAAACACCCATGACAACTAAGGCAGGAAACCCGATTATTAAACGGCTCACGAAGGGTGAAATGGCAGAACGGCGAGCAAGAGGGCTCTGTTATAATTTTGATGAGCTGTGGTCGATGAATCACCGGTGCAAGAAGCTTTTCTTTATCGAGGTCGAAGATGAGAAGGAGGAGGAGGATGGCTCACCAGACTTGGAGTTGTCTGCCAACGCTATAAGTAGTACAAAACACTCATCGACCATGCAGTTACTAGCAAGAATGGAAGGAAAAGAGTTGACAGTGTTGATTGACTCCGGAAGCACCCATAATTTCTTAAGAGAAGCGGTAGCATCATCTCTGAAGTTACCAATTCTCAGGAAGTCAGGGTTGCATGTGCGAGTGGCTAACGGTGAAAGGGTTCCAAGTAAAGGGGTATGCAAATTAGTTCCTTTCCTGGTTGACGGAGAGGAATATAGTGCAGATTTTTACACTATTCCGCTAGAGGGTTTTGATGCCATATTAGGTGTGTCCTGGTTGGCGACTCTAGGGCCCATATTATGGGACTTCTATGATAGAACGATGCGATTCGAAAGGGGGAGCAAGACAGTGATTTGGCGCGGACTGCATCCTACATTTGTTCCTCGTGTGGCGCTGCTTCACAGCAACGACCCGGACACAGCTCAGTTGGACATCTTAATGAGGGAATATGAAGATTTATTTGCTGAACCCAAGGGGCTGCCACCACAGAGAGATTGTGATCACCGGATTACCCTAAAACCTGGAACTGGACCGGTGGTAGTGCGACCCTACCGGTACCCTTACTTCCAAAAAGACGAGATTGAAAGGCAATGTGAATTGATGCTTGACCAGGGGATAATCCAGCCAAGTAGATCACCGTTCTCTTCTCCAGTTCTACTTGTTAAGAAGCACGATAATTCTTGGCGGTTTTGTGTTGATTATCGAGAACTTAACAACAACACCGTCAAGGATAAATATCCTATTCCGGTAGTAGATGAATTGCTTGATGAACTTCACGGTGCAAAATATTTCACAAAACTGGATTTAAGATCAGGATATCATCAAGTCCGGATGCACCCCGAAGATGTGGAGAAGACGGCATTTCGTACCCATCATGGGCATTTCGAGTTCTTAGTTATGCCCTTTGGCCTAACTAATGCACCATCCACTTTTCAAAGTCTTATGAACAGCATCTTTCGCCCCTATTTACGCAAGTTCATCTTGGTTTTCTTTGACGATATTTTGGTTTACAGTAAAACATGGGTAGAACATCTTCATCACGTGCGACTTGTGTTTGAAATTCTTCGTCAAAACAACCTTTTCTTGAAGCAGTCCAAGTGCATGTTTGGAGAAACCCAAGTCTCGTACCTGGGACATGTCATAAATGAAAGGGGGGTAGAAGCTGATAGCTCAAAGGTGAGTTCAGTTAAAGCATGGCCAATTCCTCACTCAACAAAAACTCTAAGGGGTTTTTTGGGACTGACAGGCTATTACCGAAAATTCATACAGAATTACGGTGAGATTGCAGCCCCCCTAACTTCTCTTTTGAGGAAAAACTCATTTCAGTGGACTCCAGAAGCGCACCGTGCATTTGAGAAGCTAAAAGAATTACTCTCTTCGGCTCCCGTGCTGTCATTACCTGATTTCCAGAAAGAATTTGTGGTGGAGTGTGATGCATCTGGGATCGGGGTGGGGGCAGTGCTCCAGCAGGAAGGACACCCTATTGCCTTTTTCAGTAGGAAATTCCCAGAGAGGCATCAAAAGTTGGCAGCTTATGAAAGAGAGTTAATCGGCCTCGCTAAAGCCATCACTCATTGGAGACCATACCTATGGGGTCACCAATTTTTGGTCCGCACCGATCACTCCAGTTTAAAGTATCTCCTGGAGCAACGCTTGACAACCTGTCCGCAACAGCATTGGCTAAGCAAGTTGGTGGGATTTGATTTTCGTGTGGCATATAAACCGGGAAGATTAAATGCGGCTGCTGATGCCCTCTCACGCAGAGAGGACATTGAGATAGAATGTGTGGCAATCACTATTCCGATGACCACCTTGTTCGAAACAATTAAAAAGGAAGCAACTGGTTCGCCAGAATGGTCTGCAATGGAGGAAAAGGTCAAGCAAGGGAAACTAGGAGAGGACTGGAAGCTTGCAGAGGGGTTGCTGCTGTTTAAAGGGAGGGTTTTCCTCGGCTCTGACTTTCCAATTATTCCTCAGATTATCTCTGAATTGCATGATATGGGGCACGAAGGCATAGAAAAAACTTTGCAGCGTATTCGTCGTGATTTTTATTGGCCCGGTATGAGAAAAATGGTGGGAGATTACATCAGATTGTGCCAAGTTTGTCAGAGAAATAAATGGGTAAATCTACACCCTGCAGGGCTGTTGCAGCCATTACCGGTACCCCAAAAAATTTGGGCAAATATCTCATTAGATTTCGTTGAAGGGCTGCCAAAAGTGAAGGGGAAATCAGTCCTGCTCGTGGTGGTGGACCGTTTTTCAAAATACGCTCACTTCATTCCCTTGTCCCATCCATATACCGCGCCATCAGTAGCAACAATTTTCTTCAATGAGATTGTCCGTTTGCATGGTCTGCCAGAAACAATAGTCTCTGATCGTGACAAGGTTTTCATGAGTACATTTTGGAGAGAATTGTTTCGTCTCTCTGGAACAAAGCTCACCTTTTCGTCCGCTTACCATCCGCAGACTGATGGACAAACTGAGGTCGTTAATCGCACTATAGAGATGTACTTGCGATGCATGACAGGAGAGAAGCCAACAAAATGGGTGCAATGGATACCGTGGATTGAATTTTGTTACAATACTTCCTACCATACATCACTAGGAGAAACACCGTTTCGCTTGGTATATGGCCGAGAACCACCTCGGTTATTGGCTTATTCTGCAGGCTCCACACGACTGGAGGCAGTTGATAAGGAACTCATTAATCGTGATGAGCTTGTCACCACCGCAAGAGAGCAGTTATTGTTGTCCCAACAGCGCATGAAGAGAGCATATGACAATAATCATCGGGACTTACAGTTTAATGTAGGTGATTGGGTGTGGCTGCGATTACAACCGTATCGACAACTCACAGTAGGTCGCTCTAAGCAACACAAACTGCTTCCAAAATTTTATGGGCCATTTAAAATATTAGCAAAGGTGGGCAGTGTGGCATATCAGTTGGAGTTACCACCAGGAAGCAAAATACACAACACATTTCATGTGTCTTTACTAAAGCCTCATCAAGGGAGTATTCCACCGGCACCAGGGCTGCTGCCCCCGCTGAAGGACGGCAAGGCCCTGCCAGTACCAGCCAATGTTCTGCACTTCCGTTTAAACAGAGGTGAGAAGGAGCTGCTAGTCCATTGGCAAGGCCACACAGCTGAGGAGGCAACTTGGGAACCGTTTGACACTTTTATTGCTGCTTATCCAGGATTTGAGCTTGGGGACAAGCTCAGTTTTGAGGGAGGGAGTGATGTTACGGATGCGTTTTATGGAATTCCCTATCGCAGGAGGAAACATATGGGCCGGCAGGAAGTTTAATTGGAAGAGGAATCTATCCTGATGCTATTTTCATATTTTATTTTATTTATTTATTTATTTCTTTATTTATTTATTTATTTATTATTTCCTATTATTAATAGAAGTATTAGAAGTTACAGTTTTAGTTAGAGTAGAACTCTATCATGTAAAGGGCAGATTGCCTATTTATATTCTTTATTCAGCCTTAATAAAATCTATCGATCTTTAGAAATTGTTCGCAGAGAAGTCACGGACTCTCTCTCCTCCCTGCGCTCTTCCAGCCACGGGCAAGAAGAAGAGTCACCCTAGGCGGCAGGTTTTGCCCTCACCGACTCACCCTGCCACAGCAAGTCGTCCTTGGACCCGTTCTCAATCCCAGAACCCTAACATATTTATCTTTATGTTATCAGTTTTATCTTAATTTTTTTTTCTTCTTGTCCATCTTCTCTTTTTGGCATTGATATCATGGATCCATTCATGTTAGTCAACCCCAAAATCTTTTGGTATTAAGGCTTTGATGTTGTCGTTGTAGAGTTTAGATTTCGGGTCCTTACAATTAGCAATGGGGCTTAAGCAATACACAATCCTTCCAAACTGACTCAATTGCGCAATATTCAATTGTGAACATTGACAAAACCCAAAACACAATATCTCAATTTTTAGAAGAGTGGAAAATGAAAGATATAGAATTCAGCATCACAAATTCAAAACAAACGTTCACTACATGAGCAAAAGAAATCAAGTCAATGTTTTCCCCTGCTTGAGTCATTAAATATATCATACTTCTCTGAACTTTTTACCATAGGAACATACATACATGGGAACAGTGTTAGAACTTTGCATGAGAAACCCACCAGGAAATTCTAGTTCAAAGCTTTAAGAACACGTTGATTTTGTTATTTTTTTAAAAACAAGGTCATAATGTGACTTATGTAGGAATTTGGAACGACAAACAAGTGTAGGCATGTAGCAAGTGCAGCTAGTGTAGTTCAATGTCTCACTGAACAAACTCTCATGACTCATAAAGGCTGGCTATGAGGAGCTTCTTAGGCATTTTGCTAAAACATCAGTTCTTCTTGAGTTCTAGTTCCACGACTGCTCTTGCTTCAGATCAAGCAACATATGATACCATCAGCTATAATAGATCAAGATGATTGGTTTGAACGCATAAAACTGTTACAAGTCAAATTTCAATTTCAGTCTACAGATTTGTTCAAGTTGAAGTGAAGATTTCATGTCAAAGCTCAAGTCAATGCTCAAAAAGCAAGTTCAAGTTGAAGATTAGCGGTTTGAAGTCAAAAGTTAGCTTTTGTTCAGGTTTAAGAACAAGGTTTCAAGTGTGGTATGTGAGTTAAGAACTAACAAGCTTAAGCATATATGCTTTAGTTTGAGGAGGCTTTCGAAAAAAGTGAGTGTTAAGTATCAGTTAAGCATCCATGGAGGTTAGTTGATCTTAGGTGCAGGAGTAGTTTGAGGACCCTAAAATCAGACTCGTTCACTCTTAAAACTCACACAGCGCAATTATTTGTGTAATATAAAGAGTTTTTCCTTCATTGGAAAGGGGTAAGAAATAAGGTTTGTTGGTATGAGGTATTAAAAAAGGGACGTGTTAGTGTTGGGTTAATTGTTTCCAATATCTAACATGATACTACCTAACCTTTTGAAAGCCATATATGCAGAACGGGGAACTCTTCTTATTTATTGGGAAGATAAAATGGGCCTCAAGAGGGGGCATCTACAAGGTTGACACAAAACTTAACTTTAAATTTGATACTAGAAAATGGAGATTCGAACTTCAGTGAAGTTTACTTGACTTCACTTCTACTAAATTTAATGAACTCTATTATGCTCTACATAGCTGACCCCAAAATCTTTGGTGAATAATGCTTGGATGTTGTTGTATTAAGTTCTACATTACTTCAGGTGTATTCTATGGAATTCTACTTTGTTTGACTTTACTTAATTTAACGTGACTCAACGGCTATATCGAGAACACCATTAACGCCATCCCTTGTCTTCTTCATTTTCTTCTTGTCTGCTTCACTGGTGAGGAGATAAACGCTTCTTTTTTTTTGTTAGAATGTATCATAGGAGTCGATGGAGTATATTCAGAAGTTCACCACGTTCCTTTATTAACAGAATTAAGTTGGGGAAAGATGCGGGACACCGAAAGTTGATTTAAATCCACAAGAGAATCATTGGGAGCTTGCAACCGGATCTGGATAGTTTTTGGAGAAAATGGCATCTAGATAATCCTCATGCATTACCATGTGGCCCAAAGTCACTGACACGGTGTTGGCACATGGCAGGGAATATGGTGAGGCAGCGATGGACTTCTAGGAGAAGCTTTGCAGCGAGATTGTGTGATCAGTTTCTGCAAATAAGTGAACAGCTACATGAGATGTTTTGAATCGGAGTGATAATAGCACCTGCAACCAGAGACTACTTTATGGAAATGGGGTTTTTAATCTACCATTGTACAAGGGCTAGACTCTTGATGAGCCACTAAGCCAATTCACTATCCAGCAGTTGGTTCAAGTTTAAATCCTAAATTCATTTCATCTAGATTGAACAAGAAAAGATTTAAATGCATAAAATAAGACATTGTTTGACTTAATTATTGTCCTGCTCAAATCCTTAATGGAAAATCCGCTAATCCAAAACCATTATATCTCCAAAACATCTACAGACAAGGTTAAAAGAACACAATTCTGCTTATTTTATGACATACAGGAAGAGGTTCTATATTGATTAGAAGTAAAATACACAACCACTGGCCTGTGGCCAAAGATTTTTATCCAATAGCAAGACAAAGTCTTTTTTGCACTATATATTTTGCGTTTTGAATAAAATAGATCCCACGCAAACCAAAACCCTTGGCCTTACAGATAGGAGAGCAGTTCTAATTTGTATTTTTTTCTGTGTTTTCTCATCCTGACTCGGTGACTCAAGCACACAACGACACGGGCTGTACAGCGGTTGGTGAGACCCAATCTACAACTTCAGCTGTGTAGTTAGTTCTCCCGAGGCCTGACACAGGAACACAACAAAACCCAAACGGACAAACAAAGTCATCATCATCGCCCACTCGTCCGTCAAACTTTTTTCTGCGCTAGCAATTGCAGACTTCAAGTTTGAAGAGGGTTAGGTAGTTAGGTTGTCGCTATAAGCAATTGCAGGATTTGCAGCAATGAAAGGTAATTGCAATTCAATATACTATGTATTATATTATTCAATTGTACTTTATGATTTGTGCATTCATTAAAACTTTTTTTAATTAGCTGTGAATTTTGATATGCATGATAGGTTATGAATTTTGAATTTTGTTTCGTTACATGCTTATAGATTCATATTGAATTTGTGAAATTTGGTTATTTAGATTAGATATAATAATACTGAGAGTTTAACGATTGCTTGATTCTACAAGTTGAAAAGGAAATGTTTGATGAGTGAGTCGATCTTACAACAGTTTCTCTCAGTCTTAATGTATTGTTGTTTCAAATATTTTATCATAGTAATGGTTTAGTCGGGTTTGATCTTGTCCCCTCCATACAATTCCCGGATACACAACTGACACTGACTACATCATCAGATAAGAGAAGCTTAAACTGATAAGTAGACCGTGGGAAACCCTAGGTAGAGAAGAAAGACATATACGCACCTACATACATCCGTATATACATTCGTAATAGCACTAATACATGCACACACATACACTCCAGTCGATGCACAAAGAGACAGAAGCTGACCTGGGGCAATGGAGAGAGCGGTGAAAGACGGCGAAGAACACGGCCTGCTTATTTCTTATCTTCGCTTTACTTCAAGGAGAGAAGCGGAGGTGCGCGGTTGGAAAGAGGGAGGGAGGGAGGGAGCCAGAGAGTGTCGCGTGCGCTTCACTGCGAGCAACTTTACTGTTCAGCGACTCCAGCCACTTCTTTGCAGCGTTTAGGTTTGAGCCGATGAGCCCTTTATCTATCTACAACTCAAATATAGAGAGAGAGACAGAGTAGAGTGCTTAATTGCATTTACTTCCTCAACATTTGGATGTTTTATTTTATGAGAGTGTTAAAGTAAAATAGAAATGATTTACAAATTTTGAAATAATTTTCTATACTTCTATACTTTTGTGAGTTTTTTAGTAAAGGTTTTTTACAAGAATATTACTAGAATAAAACTTAATTACATAAATATGACTATTCATTACTACAACGTAGTGTTGTGGTAACTAACGTTCAAAATTTGAACATGAATTACTATGGTTTCATTACTACTCTAGTAACTAGTCATATTTTTGTAAATCATCTTTATTTTGGTCATATTTATGTAATTATTTATTTTAGTAACTGTCAACTTTTATGACTGAAAAGATCTTAAAAAGAAAATGTGATAGTTGTTTGGTAAAAAACAGACTGCTTGATTTAGTTCGGTTTGGTATACAAGCTGTTAGGACTAATTAAGGTTATGTTTGGCACATAAAAGGCTCTAGCTCCTAGCTTCTCTATCATTTAAAAAGACCTTAAAAGACTCTAGTTGTATGTTTGACATGACATTTTTTAAGATCTTTTCAAAAATTAAAAGATCTTTTTTGAGATGTTACCAGGTGTAGCATCTGAGAAAAGCTCGTGACTTTTAGTATTAATTAGTCCTAACAACTTGTATACCAAACCGAACTAAATCAAACAGTCAGCTTTTTACCAAACAGCTATCACATTTTCTTTTTAAGATCTTTTCAGTCACTAAAAGCTAACAGTTACTAAAAAACTCGTAAAAGTAGGCGAACCCGCCCCGTGACATGCACGGGTCCAAACTTGTTGACCCATGACCCGCCCCATGCGGGGCGGGTCCGCCCCGCCCCGCTGTAACCTTATTAGCTGGTATGTATTTTTATTTGTGGGAAGTTGTTACCAATTGAATCTACATAAAGTTTATCTCTAAATAATAATTAAAAATTAATATATTAAATCAAATTCATGATACCCTAAAAATTTCAAAAATTAAGGAAATAGGAGTATTACTCAGACTTGAATAGTTAATCTATTTAATTATATTAATAATTGAACATATGTATTAAAATGCTATATATAAAGAAAACATTGATAATATGTCATTCATCTCATTCTAATATATGTATTAATATATTATAAGATCAAAGAATTTATGATTTACTGTATACACACATATGTATGTTGAAGTATATTTGTAGTATAATTTAAGAAAAAGTATGTATGCTTATGTATTGAGCGGGTCGGGGCGGCACGGGTCAATACTAATACCCGGACCCGCCCCATTGTATAGGCGGGGCGGGGCGGACCCGCCCCATTTGGAAGACGGGGCGGGGCGGACCCGCCCCAAATGTCTCGGGCCAGGGCGGGTCACTGCGGGTCGGATTTTTTTGACATCCATACGTAAAAGTATCTTTTTAGCTAGTTGTGCCAAACATACCCTATATAATAGTGATATACAAAGAATTTAAGTTTAAAGCAAATATCAATATAAAAAACGATGAGAAGCCTTGTAAAGATGGTTTTAAGTTGGAACCCAAGTGGGTGAATAATTCAAATTCTCCAACAATTTCTTTGCAAATTTGGTACCGAGTATGATCTCAATGAATTCAGTTACTATTACAAACTATTTCTTTTGATTATAAACAAATTAAAGAATGGTGTTTGTTTTATTATTGTTACTTTAGATTATTTTTTGAACAAATTACTTCAAGGCATAAGAAAAATTAACCATGATATACAGAGTTTATAAAACATACGGAGTACAAACTCACGAATAGTCCATAAAAGATAGTCCTAAAATTTGGCCTGCTTTTTGGTTTACTAAACTTATAGTCTGGTAATTAATTTTAAAATACAGAAAAGTTGTACTTCAAAGTCCTACACCATCATGGAAAACACTACACACTTCCTAGCCAAACGCCACCTCTACGTCGACGCTTAGTTTTCTACAAAAACCATCAAAAACTTACATCCGACCTCTCATATCTCCCGTCATAGCTCCAAATTTCAGCAAAAGAGGAAGATAAGCTATGGAAGCGGGGATTTCAGATCTGGGTGTTCTCAGACCTGAGCTGGATCACCTTTCACTCCGTCGTCGTGCACCCACGGGATGTTTGTTTGTCAGACGAAGTTTGCTGCATCTGCGGAAGTTCGTCAGAACGTCCCAGGCCTTGTTACCCCGCTTCTGGTCCAGCACCGCTATCGCCAGCGAGAGCGCCTACCGCTGCAGCGGAACTCACTCACCGTCGTATCCATCAGCTAAAATATCCATGAGCATGTTTATAAATGTTCTAAAACAGAGTGGAGGAAGCATGAACCAAATCTTCTCTCCAGGGAAATCACTCGAGCAACGAGCACACAGGAAGCAAGCTCTAGCCTCAACCTGAAATGGTGGTGGGACGCCCCCGAAGGGGTCAGTACTCTATAGGGCTATAAAGTACTGGTGTGGATGACATCTAATAGATATACAACAAGTATTTCAAACACAAGACCCTCAAATAGGGTGATAATACATTATGGTTGTAACCCTAAGTTACCCCATTTGAAAATATACTTACCTTATATAAAAGTCAAGTAGTCGGCCCGTGGGCCCATGTTCATTTAGAAATCACCATTCCCATTCCCCATGACTTTAAGCCATGACAACTCATAGAGTCCAACCCTAATACATGACATTGTATTCTAGAGCTCCGCTCTATCACATCACCATACAATTCATGTCACTTAGGTCAATTTCCTTACCTTGCATTCTAGAGCACGGCTCTATTACATCACCATGCACTCCTTAGAGCTCCAACCCAATACATGACATTGTATTCTAGAGCTACGCTCTATCACATCACCATACAATTCATGTCACTTGGGTCAATTTCCTCACCTTGCACGAAAGTCAAATTCCTAAGCAAACCTATGCCTAGAATTGGCATATCGATAAACTACCTTGGGTCATTCTTAAAGACTGCCTATAACATAACCTTAGCTTCATACTAAGTCATTATATACACTTGAAGTATATTCAAGTGCATTGCATACAATCCAATCCCTAGGATCAATTCTATCGACAATTTCCAATAATCACTAACTAGTATTTCAATACTATTAAGATTATTGTTATCATACAAATATTCTCATTTTGTAATTCTATACATATTTACAATTATGTAGCGGCAACTTAAGCATTCAATCTCAATACATAAATATTCATTTATGTATCCACATAATTTATACATGAGTAAAATGCCTATTTCACAAAATAGTTCATTTACAACTCATTTAATCTCATGTTATTCATACAATCTCAAATCATTTCCAATTTCATTCTTTGTCAACTATATCAATATTTCATCAATATTTAAGCATCATAATCCATGAAAAATTATGATTTAGGCATTTAGGTAATCTCATGCTCAACCTACAAGCTGTAAGCAATTAGATGTCGATCCTCACCTTAATTGAGTTTTAAACATTTCCTCTTGGGTGTGTTTCGGAAAATAAAGAAAATTAATTAAATAAAATGACTAGAGAAAAACAAGAAAGGAGATGAAGCAGAATTAGTCAAAGCTCGTGCTACGCACGATGTCCTTAAAACGTATTTGTTGCCTCCCACGGTGCTAGGAGCGTTGCAACAATCGTTTCCCAGGATACGATGACTACGAACTAATGTTTGAGCACACAAACAAGAGTTCCAGCGAACGAGAACACAGGCTGAACACAGAAGGAATTTGGAGATTGCTAGCAGTGTGTTTTTAGAGGTGCAAAACGTGCATGGAGTGTATCAATTCGTGTAAGAACGTGTCTTGTTGCAAACCACCTGCCAGCCTTTATATAGGAGGATTTGTTGTGTGTAAATGGTGAATTAATGGACCTAAACGTTGGACATCAATGACCAGTCCGTTGGGCATTGAATCGTCCATGAACTGTCCATTTAACGCTGCATTAAAAGATAAGAACGTTGGGCATTAATTGTTGTAACGTTTCAGAAGCGCGACAGAAGACCTCCACCAGAACACCCCGGGAGGGGTTCTGTTCGGAGGCCAATCAGAAGACCCCTAGAGGGGTTCTGCCATCAGAAGACCCCTGAGGGGTTCTGTCACGAGGCCACCAGAACACCAACGAGGTGTTCTGTTCCGTAGGCTTCTGTCCGAGCACTTCTGCCGCTGAGAGATAGATTTTTGGACGACATTCGTGTCCGCAGGTCGCCCGCGCACGCAAGTCACGGTTTTTCTTCTCCGAATTCGGGATTTGATTTGCACCCCCCCTGCGCGCGTGGAGAGAGCCGTTACCCTAAGGAATCTTAACTCCTTAAGGGGAGAGTCCCTTTATAAAGGGTTGCAAATCCCTTGGGTTTTCCGGTGTGGGAAATTAACACACTAGAAACCCATCCTTTTCCCTTCTAACGGGTAAACTTCGAAAAACAATTTCTCATTCACCCGTTATCCGTTTTGAGCGTACCATATATCGAATTGTAGCCCTAAGCAAGGACAATCCGAAACCACTTTGACCCGATCCAAATCGGAAGTGGACCCCACTCAAAAAATTGCCCCAAAATAGCCATTTAATGCAATTTTCACACATTTTTCCAACAATCCCCCACATGAATGAAAATTGATTTTCGAGACTTAAAAAGACACGAAGATAGGAGGACACGTTGTGTTCACCGGATGATCCTTGTATACGGAGAGGTAGGTTTAATCCTTTGAACCTTCCGCTGTAAAGACTCATTTATTTACTGGCTGTCTAGTAGACTCGATGTCTTTAAACTATACTGTCGTCGTGTAAACATTGACTTATCTTTACACAAGAACCTTCCAACTTTGTTCCGTTCTCATGGGTGTGCCCGTTTTGGCCATGGGTCACCGTTCTGGTTCTGCAAGAGTTTCTAAAGAACTGAGCCATTACAGTTCTCCGTTGAAGCGGTCCTCTTCTCTCTCACATAGGTGATTCTTTCACGAGTATCTCGCATACTCTTCCAATGTTATCGAGTAGATCAACATTTTAGAATCAT